ATGAATCAACTTCATATTAGCAATTGCATCTGGTGAGTACAAACTGACCTGCACCCAAGAGAAGCAGGTCACACCAGAACATCCTGTCAATCAAACAGCAGCTACCAAACCCCAAAAGGACTGTCAATAGGACACAAGTCCAGCTCAGTGGTAAAATTTCCAGTCTTCCAGGACATAACTGTTTTAAATGTTTGAAAGAATAAACAAAAAGAAAATGGTTTGATAGATGCCATTTTTGTAAAACTAAAAAGAAAGAAAGAAAAAAAAGAAACAAATATGTGTCCTCTGGTTATTTGAATTATCTTGAATGCATCTTCTATTCTTCTCCTCAGGTGGTTTCACAACCATTCACACCTTGAAACATGAAACTGAAACACGTGAGTCTCATTAGCAAACATCTCACAAGCAACGACTCAAACACCTAACAGGATGGAGAGAGGTGAAGAGGGGTCAAGTTGTGTGATTACCCAATCGATGATTTATGAGGCCAGGATTCCTTACACAAGATCTGAAGTGAAGAAACTTTTTGAATGTCACTGGAAACATCTCAGACGAAAAACAGAAGTCCAGCTGCCTCTTGCTTAAACACTTAAAATCGCTGGATTAGAAGTAAATCTTCAGTCAACTGAACTGTACAAGCTGCAAGTTCTAACCAGTGTTATTGCCCATGCTGTAGAATTTACCTCCTTCTTATCTCACTTTACTAACTGTATTAAATGTAGAGCAGATCTGAGAACAGGATGAAATTACCTGAAATTTCTACACCATCGGCTCTTTGGAACTACAGAGGAAGTACGAAGCAAGAGGCATGCAACCTCTGGCTACTCATTTCAGCTTAGTAACATGTAGTTAGTTTAAAAATGCCAAATATATAAATAAATTCACCAGCTACAGACCTAGCTACCTTAATTATCGACATTATTGGCAATATTGACAACAGAGTTGGCTTTAGAAATAAAACATGATAGCAGTCTTCTTTTATTCAGATAGAATGGAGTACTGTAATAAGGGCAATATGTGCTAAACAGCATACATTCAGATTAATGCATTAATAATATCAGGCCTTATCTCGAAATTTTCTCTTTCCAACTTCATCTGTTATTTTATGTTTGCGTCATAGGACTATCACTTGCATCGTGGTCTGTGTGTAGAGCAGTTTACTCATGAGAGCAGATAAAGGAGAGCAAACATTAGCAACATTATTGTGGAATTTTAGTATTCCCCTAAAAAATTTTCTTGTATGCAAACAAGCCTAACATATTTGGTATCGTCTCACTTGAGTGGAACGGATCTCTGTGGCTCCTCTGGTTGATTTGTTATGGCTTTCATGGTCCAGCCTGTCACTACAGATGGACAGCTGTGCCTTGGCAGGTTTGCGATTGTGTCATATTCTCACTATACAGGATGATTGGCTGAGCATGTCTGCTGTAGCCCTTGGTTTAAACATTATTGACTGGTTTTATTAGATTTTATTTAAGGGAGACAGAGTCAAAGGGGATGAATGCAATGCACATCACACATTTTTATTATTTCCCTTGTGAAAGCATCTTCGACACCGTGCAACGTTTTCCTTCTGCTTCACCAACACGATCACATGAAACCTAAGTAGAATAAATAAAGTTTGTGGTTTAAATGTAAAAAAAAAAGTGAGAAAGATCAAGTAGTATAAATACTTTTTTATTTGAGTAGCGGGAAATTTAGATCTGTGGGGATTTCTAAAGCTGTCTATTCACTTCCTTATAATTTGCATTGCATCTACTGTTCTACATTGGCGCCACAGTTGCAGACCTGACATATAATTACTTACCTTAAACTGTCTACAGAGCACTCTGTAGGTATAGCACGATTGAGTTTAAAAGGTCACAGTGCAGGGTCAAAGGGTACAAAACATTTTCCTAAAGGACAAGTGAGCTAAAACATGGAGGAGGAAAAAAAAGAAAAAACAGACTGACTCTTGTCTCGTTCTGGAGGGCAAACGAGGAGGAGGGAGAGGGGTTATCCACAGCACTGAGTGCAATACAATACCATCTTTGAGTAAAAATCAGATTACTGCTGGTAGAGGACACAACAGTGTCACAGTCTACCTCTGGGGCTGCTTTGTGGGCTTGCGGGACAACCTGTCCAGTCTTAGCTGCGTTAACTTTTTTCTGGTCTTAAACACAGCAAATAAATAGGCCGTACTCTTAAATGTGTTAATGTTGCCAGACATAAGCAGCTGCAGTTTTTAAACTGTTTAGTTTCAGAAAAGCCCTTGATGATTTGAGAACTGAGACTTAAAGGCCAGCTGCAGTTAAAAAGGGGATGGCAAGTGCTGCCTGAAATGAATACGAAAAGCAGCTGGGTTTTATCTTCACTCACCCTGTGACATGTGCTGGGAAGAGAAAACAGGAAACTTGGGAATTTGTTCTGAAACCTTAGCGAAACACTGGTAATCCAATGATTTGTTGCTTAAACAGCTTTTACAAGACATCAACATGACAGTTTGTTGCCCTTTGCAATTCTTTGTCGTCACTTTTCACTTCAGTTTCTGTCGCTCTTTCTCCAAACTGTTACAGGTTGCAAACAGCAGCAGACACAATGACTTAACGATAACACGGTGTTAAACCTCATTTAAATGCTGGTTTAGATAAGAGGGTTGCAAGAGTTCACCTTTGGAAGAGCATTTAGGGAGTGTCAGCAACATTCAAGCGCACAATGGATCTGGAAAGTAATGCAGTAAGGTGTGGATTTCCAGTGTAGGTATATCATCTACATGCCGGAGCTCTTCAGAGACATCTAGTTGGATATATTTAGATTCCCCAGTGGGTGTATCCATGCTGCAAGGCAGACCACAATTATTCACAACACTGAAAGAGAACCAGTGCTGGTCTGGGGTCAGTCAAGAGGAGCGTGCATGTTTGTCAACTGGTATGGAGCAGGATTAACACCACAAGGGTCAAAGGTCGAGCCGTTCTGGACTACTTAGAGAAATTTGTAAACCAGAACTGGAAATGTTAAGTAAAAAAAAAAAAAAAAAAACCTTGATATTGAACTTAAAATAACAACACCAGGCTTATATTATCTAAATCTTTATATGTAATACAAACTACCAGCAATGTTCAGAATGTACAACTTTAAACAGATGAAAAACATGTTTGTCACAGAACTGAATGGGCAGCGATTTTGGTTTGAGAGAAAGTAAACTCATGATTTAACGTTGATTTAAAGACAAAAAATTAAAAAAATATTAATACAAAAAGTTTTAAATGTTTTGCTTTGTCAAATTTGCCCTCAGAGAGTATTGTTAGAGGCATTCACACTCGGTGCCTCGTGTGCTTCCTGCTCTTGATCCTCACTCTCAAATGTTTTTTGTTTGCTTTTTTGTTGGATAAATGAAGTTTTGAATACTGATTTGTCTATTTTATGCTAATTATTTTTAATTGCTGAGTGTTTTTGACTGATTTGTGTGCAGCTGTTAATATTACACCAGTTCAATAATCCTTCAATTCTTTTTATTGACTTACTTTTACACAACTTTCCAGAACTTCAATCCAACACTGGAATATGGAATTTTCTGGATAGATAAATGTTTTTCTTTTTTATTTAGCATCATAAACTGAATTTGACTGCACTGTAATATAACTAGGACTGAATTGGGATGAACGGGTTTTAATTTGCTTATATTTGGATTCTATTATATTGATTTATGAATTGAACATGTTTATCTTGTCTAATAAACTATGCATTATGAATTGGTAATATCTGAAAACGAAATGAAATGGGACCATCCCAGAATCTTCTCTTCTATTTATTTATTTTAAACATGGAATAAAGAACACACATATATCCCCCAAAAAGTCTAAATAAAGATTTTGAACAGATAATTCTCATAATGACTCTTACAAGCGTAATTTAGAGAGATAGATGCACAGTAGATATCCTTCAAGAAGGAATGTGAGCATTACGTCATCTATTATACCTATTTTTAGAACAAAATTAACAAAACCTGTAAAAAAAAAATAGATTTCCAGGAAATAGTTTTCTAACAAAGCGTGACAAAACACCACCATCCAGTGGTAAAAAGGAGTAAATACAATTCATTGAAGACTTCAAACGACGTACAGAAATTATGCAGTTACTTTATACAATTGCACTTCTTTTCTACACAGTCACAATGAACAACGTTTGAAGTGAGTGGAAATATATATTTTTATTTATCCAACAATAGAAGATAATTTAATGCTTGAAGAAAAAAAAACATACAAACAAACAAAATCTGTTGGATTTCTGGACACGTAACGAAATAATAGTAATAATAAAAAAATAGAGATTGCCCAGTTTCTCTGTAAAATTTTGGGGGACAAAAGCACAACAGTATAATAAACTAAAGAGCAAACAAACTTCTTTAAACATTATACCTCAAAAAAGACAATGTAAATGCAATTGCACAGTAATTTGTATTTAATTGCATTTAAAAATTTGATGGTATGAGGTTTTGCCGGTGGGTTGGGTAAATATCCTCAGCTTTCAAAATAAAACATTCAGTTTAGTATGTATTAAAAATTTAATTTAATCAAAATTCTTGTTCTTCATTATTCTGTTTTGTCGCTCTAGACAAATCTTACGTTGTATCAAGATTGTTGTTGTAGGGTATTTTGGAAATATAAGAAGAAAGAGTCCATGATGCATGACTTAAAAATATTTTGCCTATCAAATGTGATTAAGTTCATTCGTTTTTATGCCTTCTCACTGTCTTAAAACCCTTTTCTTTTTTGTTAATAATGTCTAATATGTATAAATATATACGAAGTATTAGTTTAACTAATTACTAGTTTGCTTCGTGACATTTCTCCTCAACTTCCAGGTATGACAATTTACTTTTTGCACTGTAAAACCAAAGAACCATTTCAGAGGCAGGCTCATAGTTTATCCTCCAATCACTAAAACTGGCAGCGTCACGTGGTTTAAACTGACCAATAGAGAGCCAGAGATTAGTGCATGCCGCACCCTGTGGCATGAAGGTTGATGGGCGGGGGAGGACGGACGAGAGCGGAGATAAACCCACTCTAAAAGCACTAGGGGAGGGGAGAAAAACAAGGAGAACCCTCGGTCAGTCTTTGCTCGGCTTTGTTTTAATTTCGCCACCGTATTAAATAGAGGGTAAGTAAATATGGGACATGCTTCGCTTGTCATGTGTAATTTGGTCCGTGTTTTTTTTTTTTTTTTTTCTCTGCCGATATTTGGCTGTATGCATTTGCAGTGGTGATCTATGTTTGGCTAATGTGTTGCGGGGGAGTCTTAGAGCAATTTCTGCAAATTATCCGATACCAAACGTCGACCTTTGCATTTTTTTTCCCTTTCGATTTAAATGATTCACCTTCTCTGAGTCGCCTTAGTGTCTGGAAAGCAACTAAAGGGGACACTTTGGGCCCGAGGTGTTTCGCTTTTAAGCGTCGTTAGCCTTTGCTACCAGAGCAGGCCTTCAGAGTAGTTGCATTATTTTTGCATTTCGCGTGGTCTCGCTGCTGTAGTAGGTGTGTTTTTGTATAAATATTCCTCTGGGGAGTATTTCCCTCCTCCCCAACGATGGGTGTGCAAATTCCGTTTTGTTCAGATGTGTTGCGATGCCAGTAATATTAGAGGAACGTCCATATGGGGAGCTGATAGTTGTACTGTTTTTTTTTTCAATAAATGCATACAACATTAAGAAAAACAAAAAAAACAACTTTATCAAATCTAATTGGACTGATTCAATTTGGACCACGCTAGATTTGTAAAGAACGGGTTGTGCAAAAATGACAAATGTCCGTACTTTGATTTTCCTTGCAGTAGTTATAAACACATATGTAGCATGTTTAACAGGCACTTTAATAAGAAGTTATTTGTATCATTATATTATGATTACTTTGTTGGAATACTAAGGCTGTTATTACTCCACTGGTAAAATAATAAGTTTATGAAGTTTTCTGAACAAATGCAGCTTGTGTAATCCAATTAATTTGACAATTGTAGTGTGCTTTGTAGCCTGACAATGACCCTTACTTATTGACATTATGAATGAGATGTGATGCACTGGATCCATCATTGATCATGAACATAGATTTATTACATTTTTCTGATTTCACTGAGTGGTGGAACTGACCAATTTATTCAAATGACTTACTTGGATCCAATATCTGTTGGATTGTTGCATTGTAATTTAGGGCCACATATTCAGACTTTTTTTCTTTTCTTTCATTGATATATTTGTCCATTTGGGTTGCCTTTTCTCAGCCATGCACTCTCAGACTGGACGTATTTTAGTGACCAAGAAGGTACATTTTGTAATATTTTATGGGGAAGAAACCAGAACATGGTGAAACATAGCAAATCACATTATTTAACAATGATATTGCAGCTTTACGGTTTCCCAACATTGTGTAGCCCTTTCTAGAAGTATGTCCGCCATTCTGCTGTGAGAGGTGTTGCAAAGCCAAACTGTAAAGACCGAAGTAAATACTTTCTGGATCTGGTAATTCTGTTAGAACAACCAGACCTCCCAAAGGACAGGACTCGGTTCTGTGACTCTGGTTCTGTGCTACCACCCTCAACACACGCTCTGTAGTACACGTTGGTTGTAGATGCAGGTGCTATGTTTGTTTAACTCCCACTTCCCACACCCTCCACTGCAGTGCAGCTGAAAATGTGTTCCTCATATTTCTGCCCTGGTTTTACTATGTTACTCTCTCCTTCCTTCCTGTCCAAATACTCACTTAACTGTGTTTGCTTGAACCAGTTCTTACAGTAAGGACGCTGTCACACCGCAGCAGCCACTCACTGAAGCTCCATTTAGTAATCAATGTATTATTCTATGTTTGTTAAAAGCAACAAAACAAAATGACACATAATAACAGACTGAAACTGCTAGGGGATTTAGGGAGACTCTACCAGGGATGATGTTGTTTTATCCGAGATGGCTCCAGTCGCTGTCATAGAATCACATGAGTGTTTACCGTTTCTCTGTTGCTGGACTAAATGCATTTTCCATGCAGTTTTTTTTTTTTTTTGCCTTTTGCATATAGGAAACATTTTATTCTCTCTTAATTTAAACAACGGAAGAAAAACTTGAGCAAAAAAGATGTTCCAAGTTTTGAAAAAAAGGAGATTTTGCTTTATAAAAATATAATTGCTGCATGGTGCATTTAAAAAAAAAAATCCATTATGTATTTGATTTTTCATTTGTCAGTTGAGCTGTTGAGATGCTCATGACTACTGCAAAACTCTTCTGACATAAACTGGTTGCTTGAGAGATGTAATTCACATCATCCACTTCCCCTCCCTCACCAGGCATGTCTTGTTAATTCATTAATTTTTTTTTTTCATTATTATTGAAGCAGGTGGTTTGTTTTGCCTCAAATCACGAATGGAAATTATTTCAGTGGCTTTTTATAGGGATATTCTATCTTTTTTTGCTAAATGAAGCAAGGATGACTTCTGACTTTTTTTTTTATTAATTTGATGGCAACTAGGAATGAGTATCATTTGGTCATTAAGGGGATTCTTGTACGATCCAGTTTCATTATTTCCCTTTGCAGTTGAAATGCTCTCAGCCTTGCAACTTTTGTCTTTTTCTTCACTTTTAGTTTCATCAGACCCCAGGGCATTTCTTCAAAAAATCAAGATCTTTACTCCCTGAGTGCAATGGAACCTTCTTCACTGAGTGACCTTTGACCCCGTGTTGATGTAGAACTAATTTATCTGTAGATAATCACATTTACCAGCTTTAGCTAGTCTTCACAAAGTCTTTGCTTTTGGTTGTGGGGTTGATGAGCATCATGTTTAGCAGCAAACACATTCATATATGGGATACTGAATTTCTCAATTATTTGCAAATAATAATAATAATAATAATAAAAAACATCACTCAGTCTTTAGTTATGGAGCGGTTTTCATATGTGAAGACCACATTCTATTTTACTCAACCTGAGGGAACAAAAAGAAATGCTACTTACCAGTGTTTTGATCAGTGACGGCAGTAATAAGCACATGTTGTTGCCTCACTCCCTTAAATCTAGTTCAAGTTTTGCCCGTTGTCTCGACATGTCAACAATAGACTTATCTGTGTACACTAATCACAGTTGAGAGCACGTAATGAGACCCTGTGTGGCATAGTGTTAAATTCACACCAATTTTTGTTTGTGGTGGTTGTAGCACATGGAGAATCTGTTGTCATAGAATCACATGAGCGTCTGCTGTTCTTCTGTTCCACTAATGAACGGCATCCAGCACAGAGATCTTTAGATGCGTCTTGTTTGTGGCCTTTAGTCAGATATTAAAAACGGCTTATCACACCTGTATACATTGAAACTCTTTAACAACACTTTTAGCTCAGTTCTTAAACGCGTGTTATGATGATCTGTTCACTTGGAGTCACTCCACTGGCATGTTTTTGGAGAGGATTTGATGGATCTTTTGGTCCTTCAGTGGTGCTGAGAATGTGTTTTCAATGCAGACTTCTGCTTGTGAAAGTTGTGGGAAAACGGACTTCTCTGCAATATGTTATCTGCATAATCAATTGGGGCTGCATGAAGCGAGTCCTGTTACTTCTACAATAATGGGACAATAAGATAGAATTCACTATCGAGAAATGTCACCAATTTCTTGAAGTTGATATCCAGTCTGTGATTTAAACTTCCACGCTGACGTTTTACAGTGGAATTAAGCCTATTGACTTCTAATGTGACCTGAACTCAACTCAGCAAACTGCTAAAACATTAGACTTTAGTATTTAGGCACATAAAGCAACACCTTTTAAGTTATGAAGTAGATAATTTTTTCTGCAAGCTTTACCCACGTGATTAACTGGAACCACCAGAAAAGCCAGCTTATGAGACAAACAACGAGTCATATCACTGCTTCACTATGTAAAGCTGTTCAGGAGAAGTGAGGCCATGCAGGAGTAGAGACAGCTCTCATGCAGATGAGAGCTACGCGGACAAAATACCAGTCACTACCAAAAGACTTCCTGAACATACTTTTTTATCAGTGACTGAACTGGAACATGACCACAACACTGCAGTAAATGAGTTAATAAGACTAACAAAAACTAGTGTGAATCTTTATTAAATGGAATCAGGGCAAAACTTGAGGGATATTCAATTAGGATTTTTATCTGATCCGTTAAAAAAAACAACATTGTGTGCATAATATGCATAGTTGCCTGACACAAAGAAATTACTTCTCTTTTTTAGGGCTATAAAAATAAATGGTCATTCTGTCTTGTAGAAGTGTTTAGGGAGTCATTTCTCGCTGATGAGTTTGTTGGGTAAAGTAAAGTTTTGATCGTCTGCAGAATCCATTCATCCTCAGATGCTTTCAGTTTTTCTCTCAATGAGTCCGTGACATGATTTTAATATGAAATGACTAACGGACTTGTTGAAAGGTTGTCATCCTTGGGAATCTGGTTTGCTTGCCGTGTGATGTTATAGCCCGCTGCTTTTCTTACGTAACAATAATCTTTAAAAGGGACGTCTTGTGTTTCCATGGTAATAATTTTGGTTTCCATGGCGACTGCACTCTCAACAGGAGAGGCTCGTCGAGTACAATGGGCCTACATTTCTGCGGAGAAAAGGGGATTCTGTTGAAACGACAGCCTTTGACATAGCTGGAGAACACTTCCTGCCTCTGCAGCTCTTTTACTGCTAAGCTGTCGACAGGAAAAAAAAAAAAATCAGCCTTGAAATCGTGTTTGTGTCAGCCATTGTTAACATCGGCTGGAAACATTCATGTTGTCTCTTACATCATATGGCCAGATGTAATCAGTTGGTGTCAGTGAGTGCAGGAGGAATTTAATGTGAACAGATTGATTGGAAGATGCTTATGGAATGACCTCATTATGTTCAGGGTGTTTGTTTGGCTTATGAATTGATCCCTCAGAGTTGTTTCTTAGAGGACCACACGATTCCTCTTGTTCTTTTTACCAGTTTGACTATTGGTAATTTTTTTTTTCTGTGTTCTAGTGTCTTATTGATTGCTGTCGGTGCATTGCTACACTGTAAAAAATGCATGATGTTAATGTTTAACTGCTTGTTTACATACTTTGAGGAAACATAAGGAGCACACTGACTGAAGTAAAGCACTTCTAAGCAACATCTATGATTGATTATGAGAGTTCCTATTCTTTGGCATTAGCCTTGAGTGGATCCTGCTTGCATCTAAAATCTGACTGTCATTAGTTATTAATAAAATAAGTTTTTCTTTTTTTTTTTCCTGGCACAATGTGATTGATGATGTTTTTTTTATTTATTTCTTCTTCTTCTTCTCTAAACAAAGGTTTCTGTAGCCTTGCTTAGTTGATTTTGAGAGTGTAGATTATTGAATCTGTTCACATTTGTCTTTTCCAGCTGAAGTCTAAGCACATCCACTGTAGTTTACACACACAAAGCGGTTATTAGAATATCTTGATTATTGCATCTGTTTGGGTTGTGTTGCGTCTTTAGTTTGGATTTTTCTCTGGACTCGGATGTTTCGTCTTTCTGCAGCCATAGCAACACAAACACGAACGACCAACAGCAAGCTCAGCATGCGGTTTTGAGGCAATCTGCAACAAAGTGAATTAGATCTGACAGAGAGTCCGGAAGCATTAGGACCCTACAGTAGGAATCAGGCTGACACGAACTGCAGACACTGCAGGGTTGTTGAGTCGCTTTGGCTGTTGGATTCAGCTTCAAGGCTGTCAGGCTTTGTTAAATCTGATTCTTAAACTACATTTGAGTGTTTATGTGAAAGCATTGGTGTCTGTGGATTTACTTGCATTACTGGATTATAACTAGAACCACTAATAAAATAGTATCACAGGGATACATCACCTCAAATGTCTCTGCTAATGTTAATTTTGCTGTATTCTGAACCGAGATGCAGTGGGACGGTTGATTTTTATTGGTTTTGTTTGACCGTTGATGGAAACGTACAGAAAGCACTGAGCGGTTCTGTCGGCTCCCACAGTGATGCTGCATGCTTCGAGTCGGGCCAGCAGTTGCCCTGGGAGTTGTGGCTGAACATTTGTATTGATGCAGACTAATGGGCTGCCTCGGCCTCTGCGAATACTCGCTCGCGTTTTGGCTCTTGCAGAGTCTGCCCGTGTCCAGCTGGAGTCGAAACTTGAGTGGGCTGTGCTGTGACAGACGGGTGGAGACCACTGATCTGCTCCAACGCTCGGCAGTTGTCAGGAAATGGACCAGATCTCCACCTTTAATTTGTCTTTTATCTGCCCTTCACTTGCTCGCTGTTTTCTTTGGGGGATCGTTTTTCAGCGGTGAACAAATGGAGTACATAATGTTTATAAATTATTCATTCCTTTGCTTGCAGTGGATTAGTAAAGTCAATGCCATGACTTAAAAAAATAGCTAACTGGTAAAGAACTGCTGCGCTGCAGTGATTAAATCTTGCTTTGTGTGATTTTTGTGGAGTTTCTTTGCCAATCATTGACCAGCTGCGCTAGACTAGCTTGTCTAGTTCATAGAGGAATCGATCAGAACCTCTATGAACTAGAAAAAGCAACTGCATGAGTATGGCAGGACGTAGGAGAGGGAGAGGGTTCACTGACTTTGTGAAAGACTGGCATCCTGTCAGTGGTGTACCCTGCCTCTCGACCAATGACAGCTGGAGATGGGTCAGCTCCCCTGGGACTCTGCAAGGATAAGCGGGTGTCTCAAATATATATTTTTTTTATTTCAATTTACTAGGAAAATCTTACCCATCAGTGTAAGATTTGCTACGAAACAAGAAAGCATTGGAAGCCTGTAAGTCCTGAAAATAGTGAAGGAACTGATTGACTGTTTGCCAGGGTGGATTATTATTATTATTATTATTATTATTATTTTATTGCACAATCCTTTTTTGTGCAATGTTTAGAACCAAAGAACCTAGTCCAACCCTACGTTGTCAATTCCTTTTATGTGCACAAAAACATAAGAAAATATTCCCAGCGTGTGTGTAGAAATAAAATGAGACGATCGCTCTGAAAGCTCATGCCTAATGGGTTTTAGTCCAGCAGCTGGCCAGAAGGGAACATTAATCTTTGAAAGGTTGCTAAGAAGGGTTTAGTTTAGTGTTCAGCTGTGTTGTTTGCTCAAAAATTGGAAAAAATATTGTCTCATCCCTAAAGAGACTCTGGTTAATCTCTCATATTTTATTATGCGATGACACGCAACGACGTTTATGATGCAGCAGTAGAAAGTGTTGAGGCTCGTCTTCTCCTTTTTTGCTGCAGGAGGCCAACTCAGGATGAACGGCGAGTCAGGTGCCGGGGTGGTGACGGCCCCCCCTCCCACCACCGTCCCACACAAGGAGCGGTACTTCGACCGGGTGGATGAGAGCAGCCCCGAGTACCAGAGGGAGAGAAACATGGCGCCGGACCTGCGGCAGGACTTCAATATGATGGAGCAGAGGAAGAGGGTCTCCATGATCCTTCAGAGCCCCGTCAGTGTGTTTACACTCCCCGCCAATCAGCTCAGTCGGGGAATATTACAATTTTCTGTAATGCACAAGCTGGCAACTTTAAAGCCCTCTTCTTTGTGCTCAACTGACAGGCGTTTTGTGAAGAGCTGGAGACGATGATCCAGGATCAGCTGAAGAAGGGGAAGACGCCCACCAGTCTGTTGGCCTTGCAGCAGATCGCAGACTTCATGACCACCAGCATGCCTTCCATGTACCCAGCTGCACCACAAGGAGGCATGGCAGCACTCAACATGAGTAAGCAGGAATGAGTGATTGTAGAGCACTTTCTGACCTCAGCACTGCTATGTCTGCACTCGCAGTGAGTAATGCAGAGTATGCCATAGTTAACTGCAGGACAATGACACCAGCTGTGTTTCACTAAGCATAATAAGTTGTTTTCCTCGTTTCTGTTAGTGTTGCACACGGCAGAGCCCTCCTTACATCAATTTGCATAAAAATGGAACTTGACTGCAGAGTTTTTTTTTTTTTTCCTACAATGTGTATAATTGACTTCTTATGTTTTGTAAAGTACCTCGAGAGCTGAAACTGCACTGAATTAAATGAATTAGTTTTGTAACTGATTGCAATCTTTCCACGTCTCCCGTTTCTCTCCGTAGGTTTGGGAATGGTGACGCCAGTCAACGATCTGCGAGGCTCGGATTCCATTTCCTACGACAAGGGCGAGAAGCTTCTCCGCTGCAAACTGGCTGCTTTCTACCGGCTCGCTGACTTGTTCGGATGGTCTGAGCTCATCTATAACCACCTCACAGTAAGATCGCTCTCTCACATGCAATTAAACGGTGCTCCTTGAACAATTTTATCAACCCAGCAGTTTGCTAAATCAATGTAGATTGGAATTAATTTGCATGTATGTAAAGTTTTAGTCGTGGTAACTGTGATTTGCCTGGGCTTTAAGAAAAACAAATGGATTCCATCTCAAATTATCTTGATGCTAGGATTACACAAAGTAGGAATTTCGCATAAAAGCCTCATTAATTCACATGCATTGGTTTTTCAAAATGGTAAAATATAGAGTTAAGTAAGTAAGTTGTAGGTAACTAAATATTCTCTTGGGAATAATAAATTATAACTCAACTTGCACGTCTTTTGTTCTGCAGATCAGAGTGAACTCAGACCAGGAACGCTTCCTCATCGTTCCCTTTGGGCTCCTTTACAGTGAGGTCACCGCCTCAAGTTTGGTAAGATTCACCGGAGGCATCTATTAGAATTTCAATACTTTTAAACATCTTCACACATGCGCTGTTTTCCTCACATTTTTGATGTGAACTGAGTGAAAGAAGTCCACAAGACAACTTTGAGCAATCCTTCATGTCGAATCACTTTCAGGTAAAGATAGATCTTCAAGGTGAGATCGTAGACCGAGGAAGCACCAACCTGGGGGTCAATCAGGCTGGCTTCATGCTCCACTCCGCCATCTATGCTGCACGGCCCGATGTCAAGTGTATTGTACATATACACACAGCGGCAGGTGCAGCGGTAAGCGTGCACAATGTCTTTAACGAGCGACGTACTGCCTACAGCTACCGAGATGTTTGATGACGCTGTGTGCTTCTTCTGCAGGTGTCGGCCATGAAATGTGGGCTGCTGCCTATCTCACCCGAAGCTCTGTCCCTCGGGGAAGTGAGCTATCATGATTACCACGGCATACTGGTGGATGACGAAGAAAGAGGGATCATACAGAAGAACCTTGGGCCGAAGAGCAAGGTACCTCCAGGACGCGAAAGCCAAAATAATTCGGGCAAAGCTTGGGCTGTGTGACTTAGATGTTTTCGTCTTTCTTTCAGGTTCTCATCCTCAGGAATCATGGCTTGGTGTCAATTGGAGAAACAGTGGAGGAGGCTTTCTATTACATCCACAACCTGGTGACCGCCTGTGAAATCCAGGTAGATCTAACCTGATGCCTGTGAAATTACTTTATCTGATCGATTACACTTTAACAAATGAGACATCAAACTAATTTAGGTTTTTATTTGTCCTCATTTTCCATAACAATTACTTTTATCTCTTGTTTCCCCTCCTTTCTTCTTGTTGCTGTCTGTTTGGTGCACATCCTCACTGTTTACATCCTACTTTCCAACTCTTTTTTTTTTTTTTTTTTTTTCCCGTTCTCTCTGCTCTGGATCTGTCTGTGGTTTGTCTCCTTGTATACCTCAATGTTTTCCAGGTGCGAACACTGGCCAGCGCTGGAGGGCCCGACAATCTGGTAATGCTGGACCCTGCAAAGTATAAATCAAGGCCACGCGTCCCTGAGCCAGCAGGCGACGGGTCGACAACACACCCCAAGTGGCAAATCGGGGAGCAGGAGTTTGAGGCTCTCATGAGAATGCTCGACAATTTGGTAAGAACAGTGTGCGGCGCATACTGCTGCAAGGTTTACTGCTCAAAACTGGTGTTTATATTATTATATAAGTGAGTGGTATTCAGGCAGGTCATGTTAATGGATACTGGAAAAAATGGTTTTGTTTTGTAAAAGATGGGGGGGGAGGGAATCAACACTTCTAGACAATGAAGCACTTTTTTATTTTTATTTTTTTACATCTTTTTATATTTGAAGTATAAATTCTGCATTCATATTCATTAAATTGGAACAGTAGAAAAGTACCTTTTGCATATAACTTTTACATTTTTGAAAACTTTTCATACGTTTTTGAAAACATATTTTTAGTTGGTGTGATGTAATATTAAAATTTTAATATTTTTTCATTAACTGCTAACTGTTAGCAGAACAAATAAAGGCGCTAAGACACTGGTCTTTCTCTAATCTATTTAATGTGTTTTATGTGGTGATGGAGTTATTGAGATAAATGTACTTTTCTATAGTATTCTAACTTATTGAATGGGTCTATATGTTTTTAGAAATGTTCACAGGATCAACTTTGACTTCTAACTCCTGCCGTTTTTCTCCAGGGCTACAGGACGGGCTATCCTTACCGCTGCCCGGCTCTGCGAGACAAAGGTAAAAAGTACAGTGACACGGAGCTCGCTTCCTCCGCCCACGGCGGTTACTCCTATGGGGAGGACAGCGACTCAGGCGCTCGCTCCCCGCTGAAACACAGCTTCCAGCGCGGCCAGCGCGACAAGACCCGCTGGGTCAATGCCGGCAGCCGGCTCGACGAGCCCTGCGAGGACGGGCCCGACGGCACCAGCCCCAAGTCGAAGCCTAAGGTGTGGACGAACATAACACACGATCACGTCAAACCCTTGCTGCAGTCTCTCTCGTCCGGTGTCTGCGTGCCAAGCTGTATAACCAACTGCTTGGTCTGTGCCTACCTTATTGTTCATAGTATAGAATTTACAGCTACCTTGTCGGTAGCATTGGGTAGTTGTTCGGCATCCTGAGCGACTGGGGAGACTAAAATGGAAAAGTAAAGCTTGAATATCAATTGATGGATTAATTATGTCATAAACTTTCACAAAAATAACCTGGTGACCCACAACCTACGTCTGTAAAAACCAGTGTTGGACTTTTGTGTTTCTATTCTGCTGCGAGTGAAGTACACCTACTAAACCACCTTTCTAATGCTGCACTCTTGACTCCTTGATTCCTCCTGGTCTCCGAAAGCTTCACGATGCCGGGCCAGCTGCCCAGAGCATGCCCCACAGCATGTGTTGTTGTGAAATGCATTGTACGTGTTGATGTTTTTCCCAGAGGAGCGAGCAGCAGGGGTGTGGCATGAGTCCTCAGGTAGGCAGGTGAAGGCAGCAAGACAGGGACGTTTGCTGCTCACCACACAATCGCTCATCCCGAGGGCAACAATTCTTTTTTTTTTTTTTTTTTTTTCTTTGCATCTTGACGTTGACTTTGTTTCTTAAAAATGAATCCAACTATTATTTAAAATCAGGAGAAGCTAGATTTGCTGAAGACGCACGCCGCTTTGCTGTAATGATGAGTCTTTAATCCGTACAGACTTTTCAAGGAACCAGTGGAAAGGGGCATGCCTCTGAGAATATTTATTTTTTCTCGAATAGTGACAAAAATATGAATTGAAACTGAAAGTTGTAGACTTATCACCTTACAAAGCTTTTGGCACCTCTGGTAAAGATGTCTGAAAAGCCTTCAAATGAAATCTTCTGTTTATTCTCACACAGATGTATTTATTTTTAATTTACCCATAAATGTTTGTTTATTTTGGATGCCAGAGAGATGTAGAAGGGGCCAATCTTTTAAGAAATCTCTAGATTGCCCAAAGCTGCTGTTCCTTTTTCGTGCACTACAGTTTTATGGTCTTTAAACCTTGATGGTCATAGAAAAAGATTGACTTGTGTGTGGCAGCCTATATCTGTGTTGCTTTGGCTAAACGTTCTGGAGCATTGTTCTGAGCTTATTTCAATTTTTCCAACATCTCTATTCAAGAATGTCAACAGGTTCATGACCCCATACACTATGAAACAGTCTTGGGTCCTTCAGAAGATGGAAAATTCCCACAGCATCACAGATCTTCCACCATACTTAACACTTAATACTTGCCATGAGTTATTTTCTCCCGTTTGTCTTTTGTTTCAACCAAGATCCACCCAGAGTGTTTGTTGCAAAGAAGCTCACGGTTGTAGTTTAATTCTCACTACTTTTAGTTGCTAAAAAAAAAAAAAAAAATCTTAAGATTGGCATAAATTTTCCAGTTGATAAAGTTAGTCACACGTTGGTTTTTCAGTGTAAATTGTACTGCTTCAATAAGAGGAAGGTGTTTTTACACATCTGTAGCAGAGGCTCCAGTAGTTGTTGGGGTGCTATATAAGAAAAAGCTTCCATGCAACCTGCTTATTTTTTTTTTTTCCTTGGTACTCCTAGTTTATTTTGCCGCTAATTTTTTGTTTGTCTAATTTTTGGTTTTAGTTTTATTCTGAAAAGCAGCTTCTATAAAATATTCAGTGCCTGCATGATTGAATTTGTTTTAAGAAAAAAAAAAACAACAAAAAAAAAAAACGACAACAAAAAAGACATAATAAAATCTGACTTGACTTTTTGAATCAATTATCTCCTGTTGGGAAAGTAGGAAATGTTATGTTGTGAGACTCTTTCTCAGTGAGTATATCATGTTTACATGTTCATCTCATACTCAACCAACCCGACCCTGCTGTACCCATCCAGCACCTTCTCCTCATCTAGCCCGCCCCCTCCTCTTCTGGTTTGGCAACCATGCAACCAAACTTGGAGTAAACACAGGAATGAAGTCATGAGCTTTTGCTCCCCACTGCAAGTTACATGCTTACGTTTAAAATGGTTCACTAGGTGGCATGAACGTTGGTGTTATATCTTCATTTGCTGCTCATCCCGTTTAATGCTAGAAATGGATGGATAATTTCCCCTTTTAATCACTCTGAGCATTACCAAGTTTACACAAATTTTTACAAACTCGGCACAGGGCTGTGAAAGATTTCATCCTGTGCAAAGAGGATGTTCTTTTTTTTTTTTTCTTTTTTTTTTTTTTAAGCTTTGTGATGGTAGCTCCCATTTGTCCCAAAATGGCCGAGTGTTCTCGGGTGTGTTTCTTTCTTATCTCTGTTGTCCTTGTTGTGTATCAGCCTGGAAAATGACTTTGGTGATGCCAGCTCACCCTCACTGCCACTCTCGCTTCGTAAGCCAGCCTCATCGTCTTGGTCACCCACCCAGCCCACCTCTCACCTCTCCACCACTCACAGCCACTCAGCCCTCACATCTCCCCACGCTGCCCCAGCCCTTTGTTTGTTTGTTTTTTTTCTTTCTGTTGACTCATGCTGTTATTTGTCTTGAGTTGATTTTCAGTGTAATTCTGTTTTGGTTTTAGTTCAAATGGTAGATCAATGATGATGACAAATGATTTCCATTGTTACGGAACAACAGCGATTAAATTTTATTCAAATTTTTCCATAAAGTGAATTCAGGAGCAGAAATTTTCTTAGTAGAATTCATGAAATCATGCATTCAGGCAAACCCCACCATATAAACCAGATTAAATCTGGTGGCTTGAAACAAGCATCACTTGCATACCACGGCCCCATTATTATTATTATTATCATCATAAATTATTATTTTCAGAGGTTCTTAGTTTCATAAATTAATGATCAAGACGACTTATTTGCTCGGATATGAGATTAAAACTCAAATTCCAGGATTTGGAGGTTCTGATCTGATAAACATCTTTACATATTTTCCAGTCTGGCGCATTTTAAAACATTTGGTGCTGATTTTGTTCCAGTTTTGTATAAGGTCATATGAATACACTACCACAAACATTATCGTGGCCATAAAAAAGTACAAAAACAATTGTAGTACAATTTCCGAATTTAAAAAGTAGTAACATTGCTAGTTTTTGTGATTGGAATTAAGCCTACTGTTGAGTTAGAAAAACTAAGAAATAACTAAGGGTTTTAACTCCATGTGTATTGTCATTATCTGCATTCCATTATCTGTGACCTCTACTACTTTCATTAGTAAATATTTCATAAAGTATTGTGGACCCTATTTACCCAATGGATGAAAAAACACAAATTTTGAATGAAAAGTTGCATGTTCTGCTGTCTCTCCTGAGAGTTTCCAGTAGCTAAGATACTTTTCAATCAATAATACGTGAAGATATTAAAATAAGGAAAGAAAAAGATACCCAAATACTCCCCTGAAGCAAAAATAACTTGTTTAATGCTCTGCCTCTTGCTGCCTAAAGAACAAAAATTCTTACAATGTCATGAAGATGATATTTAAGAACAGCTGATGTGATGGGTAGGTAGCTGATTCCCACATGTGCCTAATTATTTACATAAAGTAATCCTCAAAAAATATCCTAGATTGTCCAGGATCATAAAAATAAAACCTACCTAAACCTTCATCATCATTGACTCACTTTAAAAAAAAAAAAAGTCATCAAACTTTGTGGATTTTTTTTTATTTTTTTATTTTGCATGATTTGTAAGGCCTGCATTGAGTTATGTCTACATATATTTTTGTGCTAGTTTTATTTTATATTTTTCTTGCCATTCGGCGTCCCTGTTTTAACTGTGTAACACTTTACATCGTGTTTACAGTGGACTAAAGAAGAAAGCCTTCGCCAGGCTGGAGTAGCCAATCAATTTATCCCACTGAACACCGACCCAAAGGAAGTTCTGGAAATGAGGAATAAGGTACTGTAGTGTTTTTTTTTTTTTGTGTGTGTAGTTAAATGTTGCCTCGTTTGACTGACGATATTTGAAGCTCTCCGATAAGATATGTTTCACTCTAACCAGATAAAAAAAAAAAAAAAGTCTTTTTGTTTGTTTGTTAGATCCGGGAGCAGAACCTGCAGGACATAAAGACTGCAGGACCCCAGTCTCAGGTTCTGTGTGCTGGCAATGTGGTGGAACGGACCTTTAACCAGGTCAGTGTGTGACGTTAACACCTCCGTGCTTCGCTGCTGCAACGTTCCTGACCTGGACTTGATGCTGATGAATATGGTTTGAGTCACTTGTCTTATAAGACGACTTAAAAGCAAATTTTCTAAAAGTCTAAATCCAGGTCAGGAGGCATGCCTGAATCTAAACTATTACAATATCAGAACAATGCGCATGAATTTGTTCTGGACACTGAGCTGCATTGAAAGAAACTTTAAAATCAGTTTAATTCCAATATTTTAATATTAATTACTAAAATTATTTCCTAATTAGAGAACAAAAAGTCCTCTGTGTTGTTGTGAGGATGTGGGGGGGGGACTTCATAATTATGACATTATTCTTTGATCACAGAGATTGTCGTTCTTGCAGGTGAGTAATGTGTGGGAAAGGTAAACATAATTTGGTTTCCATATTTCTGCCAGCTCAGAATGTGTCCATTTTCATACCCAGTTTTATTTATTTAGCAACATTGTTTTGTCCGTTGAGCATCACAGCTACATTTACAACCTTTGGAGTTTCTAGTTTGGATGTACTAAACAAAAGGTCCTGTTGTGACCAAGCAGTGGTTCTTTTTATTTTTCTTATGCATGTGCAAGGTTTCCCCCTCATGGGTTGGAAAGAATGCAGAACATGAAGTCTTGACTCATTGGTTGTGTTTGCATGGCTCAGGTTTAAGATGCTGTGAATGTTTTTGCCGTTTCCTTTTCATTTTCCTGGAGGGGAATTAGACTTTATCCTCTTTGTCTGTCTTGAGATTGTTAGGTTTAAGTCCGTGCAATCGCAGTGACATCTTATGAGGCATGAACAATAAAGTCTCCTCTACCCCAACCGGAGTTGACCATCACCTTGTGTTGACAGTTTGGAAAGCATGCTAATAATGGCTACCACTTTCTCTGCTGCCATGCTTTTCATAACTTGACTCCATTTTTCTACAATGGTTCCTGTGTGCATGTACTTCCCTCAAGTGGTTTTAGTGTGCTTGGGTGTGCAAGTGCTTGGAAAAGGTATTCAGACCCCTTTAAGTTTGCACATTCTTTTTAATGTTACAACCACAAGTCTTTGTGTATTTTATTGGGAATTTATCTGACAGACCAACACAACGAAGTGAACAATGGTGAAGTGGAAGGGAAGTGATTCACGAAAGGTAGCATCCGAGTTTGATTTCAATTCTTCTATTGTATCTACTTTTCCTTTCACTTCAGTTCAATTATTAGCTACTTTATGTTGGTCTATCTCACACAATCCCAATAGAATGCATTAAAAATGAACATGTGAAATGGCCCAAGGGGTTTGGATACTTCTGCAAGGCACTGCATATATATATATATATATATATATACATACATACATACAGTGGAAAGTCAGTTTACATATTGTTAGCTAAGGACCCCCTAGAAAAGGAGCAACGTTTTGACTTGCTAAAGAAAAATCCTGCAGAACTGCTTAATCTTTAAGATTAAAATGTTTTCTTTGTTCTGTGGGATGTTGCTGTACTCTTTCCCCCCTGTTGTGTGAGTGTGACTGCTTGACAGACTGCTTATTTGGATGTACTCGGTTGTGCCCCCCCCCCCCCCTCACATGGTTTGCTATTGCAGGATGCCCCTCTGTCTGACTGTACAGACACTATTGATGGCCTTGATGTGTCCGAGGGGTCCTATAGTCCTGCTAAAACAATTAGAAAGGTACTTACTGCTCCAATCACAAATCTATTTGACCCTGTAGTGGGATACAAAAGTCCGGGCAACCTTGGTCCAAATTTGGTACTGGATTAAATTTACACTGGGGGGCAAAATGTTGTTGGATGCCTTAAGAATTGCTTAAGTATTCTGGCTTAAAAATAACAATCAAAGACAATATTAAAATGCGTAAAGTTACGTTTTTTTTTTTTGTTTGCAAATCTTAATGTTCAGGTTGAAAACACGGGGAGCAATTTTTCTGTAATGACTCTTCTGAGAAATAATTAGGAAGAGAATTGACACTAAATTGGTGCATGGATCTGGAGTCTGCTGAATCAGAGCAAAAAGCTATTTTATTTTTGTATTTCTTGTAGTTGTAAGTTATTAAACTTTTCAATTTCATATACAAATTTCCTTGACTATCACCCCTCCCCCCCTTTTTTTGATTATGACAACTTATTAGAGAAGCTCAAGGTATCTTGACTGAGTGAAGCTTAAATGTTTGGACTGTTTATTAATTCACTTTTAACTTTATGCAAAAAAAGGTTTTTAGTCTGATACTGATTTCAGCATACATTTGGTCCAGGGGATGCCCACATCCAAAGCATTTTGATTAGTTGTTCAGTCTCAACAGGCGACTCCTTTCCTAACACCCTTCTTAAAAACATCCTTCTTATTCTTATTCAAGCTTTTTCTGTGATTTTTCTTTTTTTTTTGGTGAAAATATTATATATCTGTATTGCAGTCTGGAATGTTTTGGACTGCGGACAAGTAATCAAAATGGTTGTGAGGGAAATATGCCATCTCATTGTCTCCATCTGATGCCTACGCCAGTACTTGTTGCTGCCACTAGGGATGCCTAGAGTTGTAGTACTCAGCATCAAGCTCTTTCGTCCTAAAAATCCTCATCATGATAAACCAAAAGTTACATTTCAATCGATGTAGCGCATGATTTTTGCACAAGAACTGATATGTACGATTGTCTCTTTATATTGGAAATTAACTTTAGGCTTTAGCCACAGAAGCTGCTGATTGTTACTGACTGCCACTTCTCAAACTCTGTTTCCAGCCTTCTGGTTCTGCAGACAGTTTTCTTCACATGGCTGTACTCAGAACGACCCCACCCTCTGATGCCGACTTCTTTTTCCTCACTTGTGTGTCTCGAAGGGTGAGCTGGTGACCGCATCCAAGGCCATTATTGAGAAGGAGTACCAACCCAAGGTCATTATGAGCAAGACTGGTCCGAACCCCTTCAATAAGCTGACCGACCAGGAGCTGGAAGAATACTGCCGGGAAGTGGAGCAGAAACAGAAAGGAGGTGAAGGTAAATGTGCCATGGGAGGCAGACCACACCAACATCTTTTAAATAGTAATCTCCACGTGAAATAAAACAAAAAATATACATTTCGGTAACCATAGTTAACATTTTCTTTTTTTTTTTTTTGTCATTTATAACTGCGAAAAATTATTTTCTGATATAAATGCAAACTTATCTACAACTATAATGTTTTAGATAATGAGTTTTGTACAAATCAGTAACTTCTACCGTCACTCGTTATTAAATCCTTTAAAACTGTAGAGCATTCATCTTATCATTTATCGCTAGTCCTGTCACAATAATAAATTTTGTTGGATGATAAGTTGTACCAGAAGTCAGTGCGATAAACGGTGATATTGTTACTGTGCGACCATTTTTAAAATAATAAAACAGTAATGACATAATAATGCAAGAACATTTTGTCAAAGGCCAAAAAACTTTCAATTCTGATGACCATTTGACGCTGGAACTGGCAGACATTTTAAACATCCAAAATAAATTAACACAACAGAAACGACAAATAAAATGAATTATGAAGGTTCTGTAGACAAAACTGTCCTTTGAAAACTGAAGACTTTTACCATCCAGTTTTTGGTAGAAAGAGAAACTATAAATTATGCAAATACAAATTTTAGTTTCTTTTAATCCATCATGTGATTAATTGATTTTATTACTTATTGCGACAGGTGTATTTATCCTGATATATTTCATATCATGAAAGAATTCAGATTTATTGTTGTCACCATAAACTCCACTTAGAGAAACTGAACATATTGTTGGGATTGTGAGTTTCACTACTTTCTCAAACGAGTGTGTTCAATGAGTGTGAATAAATATGATTAAAGGAACTCACTGTGTGCCGTTTAGTTGCACAAATTACACTTCTTTATGTGACTGGTGTCCTAAAGAAGCATATTACAAATGGGTATGTTTTTTTTCATCATTAAAATTAAGAGTTTTAACCTCTGCTTAATAAAATATAATGCCTTTGTTCAACCTCATTGTTCAGAATGGCCAAACTATGTCATCTCTCCACACCAACATGCAAAAACATGGATTTACAGTGCAACAACAGAAGAACAGTATTAAAGGATCAATCTCCAGCGCGCCCGAACCAGAGCCAGAAGCTGCACCGTCTGGTCAAACCACGTTGTCCACTTCTCTTCATCCAACTGATTCGTCCAGCTTGGAGGAAGCCCAGCCTCCAGCTTCTTCTCGGGGGCCTCCTGCCCCCCAGCCTGATCGCGGCGGTGCCGATTCTGCAGCGACGGTAGCAGGTGATGCGCGCTCAGCAGGAGACGAGGTGTTGTCGACTCCTGATTCCCCACACAAGGAGTTCCACAGCGCCGTGGTGCGAGCCCTCGTCAAGAGCCCGCCGGCTGTGGAAGCGGCAGAGGGAGGTCGGGCCGCAGGTACACCAGATGAAGCGGAGACATCCCAAAAAAACTGGCCTTCCTCTCCCTTCCCTGCTCATCCCGGGCTTGTCTTACTACATACTGCCTCACTGGGAGTCTGGGAATTCCTGCCTGCTGTTTCCTCTCCCCTCTCTGAGGGATTGGAGTCTGCTGCCATTGTTTCACCATGTGCAAGCTCTCTCCTTTCCCCGCATTTCATCTCTGAAGGCTCTGCTTGGTTGTTTTGGGTCCCTCCTGCTCCCCTGAATGCCCAACTCTGATGTCTTGACAAAAGGCATCAAAGCTTTGGCACATTTGATTCTTCTCTGCAGTTTGATTGGACGAAGCAGATGAGAGAGGAACTCCAAGCATCCTCTCTCCTCTGCTCCTCTGCTCGTGCAATAAAAGTCCTTCTGTAGTGAAATGTGAAGAAGCAGTTCCTGAGTTTGGTCCTCCAATCAGATTATTAGACATCAGAGAAAATGTGTTAAACCCACCTACTCTGGAAATAAATGGACTCCTTTTCTTCCTGCTAACGTCTTTTTTATTTTATTTTTTTTTATGTTGCCCTTCTTATTTCCATAACCTAATCATTTGAAACTGGTTTTGGAGTTTTAGTTTTGGTTTTGTAGGAAATGTTTGAAATATTTTGCTGTTGTTTTTGTTTTTGTCTTTCTCCTGGTTGTTTAGTCCTTATGTTGTCCTCTCTCTTTTGTATTGAAACAAGCTGATTGACGATGTTTTTTGGCATTTATAAATTAAAAGAATTGAATTCTCTTTAAAGTTTTTGTCTTACAGTTCAAGCCACATTTAATGGCAGCAAGTGGTAGAGATGTGTAAAATGGCTTAAGATTGTGTTGTAGTAAAATAATGTCACAATGAAAGTTTAAGAAAAATGTAATGGCACATTTCTTCGGAGAGGTGAAAAAATAACCCATAGTTTTTATTTTTTTTTCCCCAATGACACAACCTTGCTTTTTTACGTTCATCCACATTTCTCTGAACTTAATTATTTTCAGATAAACTGGAATATAACATTGTTTGCTCAGAATATGAAAGACGATACAACATTCAATCCAAACGATAGATTGTCTTAAGTCAGGTAATATAAGATGATTAGAGTTTTTAAACAAATCAAACTGTGTAGTATAGTAAAAACTTTAAAATCTCCAAAGCTCATTGTTGGGGAGCTGCAAAAAAAAAAAAATGACATTCAGGTGTTAGAATTTCTCCATAACAACCATTTGACATGATCTACAGCTGCTTTGTTTTTGTCGTACCATCACAAATGTAAACGTGAAGTTTGCTGAAGTCTTCTGGGACTTTAACTGTGGGCATAGGTGAGACGAGGCCTAGAAGAACCTTGTTGGAGTTCTCTGTAGTAGAAACCCAAAAATGGGCCGCTTGGGCCGATCGGTAAGCATGCAATCAACAAAAAGACGTAAAACCACTCTCTCTGTTGCAGTAATAGATTAGCATATTTCGCACACTTTTATCAGGGCTGCCAACAAATGTGACTGGAACTGTAGATGCTCTGAGTGGCTTCTGACTGGGGATGTTTCTTTCAGATCCAGAGCAACAAGTAGAGGCTGAGGACGACGACAAAGACCCGAGACCCACATCCACACCACCGAGTACTCCCGTCAGAGCAGAAGAAGGTACGTTATCCTGACGGCGTTAACAAAGTGGCCTGGTTTGGCATGGGGTTTCTCCGGTGTTCAGGACTTACAGATGGACTGTGGAGGCTCCTGTCTCTGCACCTGCCCGTCTCTCTTTGGGTCTGTTGTGCTCTTTAATACTACTACTACTACAAGGTTTGTGTTTCTGTAATAAAAGCCCATGAGGAGTTCACTTTTCTCAATAAAATTTGCATGCAAATGTGCTGAGAAAAGCAGCAAGGGAGATTTCAAACAGAGGAATTTTACTGCTTGATTATTGTTGTCCCTCTTGGTCTTTATTACTGTTGGATTACACCTTTTATCAGCATCATCAGTGATGATACTGGAACTGGCTGTAAAAATGAAACTTAATTTGTCTTTTTACTATACAGCTTCTGATTGCTGGTGTAATCTGATACAGAAATGTTTTTAACGTCTCTGTACAGTCTCTCCTCTCACTGCCATTCTCCATCTGTTTTGGGGTCTTCCAAGAATGGTCCCCTCCCCTTTCTTTTGTTCTTTTCGGTTATTTTCTCCAATTTTTTTTTTCTTTTTCTTTTATTTACCATGTTGCTTGTGGTTTGATCTGCATAGACATTTGTTTCTACTTGTGCTTTTTCTTCTTTGTGGCTGCGTTTACAATCAGGAGATGGAAATACAAAAGAGTACCTGTTGCCATAGTAAGTATGTACTGTTCCACCTCCTCGCCACCCTCCTAATTACTGCTCACCCCTCCACGTTTACGTTTGCTCATTTACCCTGTTTTTCTTTGCATGGCTTCAGTAGCAGATTTGGTTCTTTGTCTGAACTAACTTGTTTGCTATTGGGGTTTGTGACTATTCCTCCTCTGAATTTCTAATGTGGGCTTGGTGGGGGTTATTTCAGAGCTCCTCTCTCTTCCTATGTCTTCATTTTTATTATTATTATTATGTAGAGAAAGTATGTCACCCTGGCAAAAAAAAAAAGAAAAAACAGTCTTATTTCCTTACATCTGTTAAATTGGTATTGTGGAGCGACACTCCTGAAGTAAACCTCACAGCCTGCTCACTGTTTTGTGTTAGATAACCTCTTTTCCTCCTGACAACTATTCACTGAAATTAACCAACCTTCCTCGCACATAAGCACATTCTTTAAATGTATATTTCTGTCTCATTAAAAACAATCTTTCAGTGGTTTAAGATGTGTCGACATGTTGTCTGTCCTGCAGGCGTGTCCTTTACCAGGTACAGCAGTGCTTTGAGTGAAGCTTTCCAACCAAACTGGCTGCTGTCGGTTTAGCTTGAAACCTGGTTGTTGAAGGCTGGCTGTTTGCTCATCGGTCTCCAGTTTCTGTCTGTCTGTGGTGTTTGACCTTTTCGCTGTTCCGACTGACTCGAGTTGTTACATGAAGACGCTGCTAAAAGCTCTCTATGGTCTCGTTTCACACTGGTCTCTCTCTTTCGCATGGGCTATATACTAAAAAAAGAATAACGTTGTTGTTGTCTGGCAGCTTTTGGGACTGTTGCGGATGCTGTTTGTTGTTTTCAAGCTGACTTCTGACGTCTGTCTTTGAAGTATTTTTTGAATGGGGCTATGGATGGATTGACAGAAAAAATGTTTTTCATGAAATTTCCTGAAATCTTTTATACAGACAATCTCATCTACAAATCGGGCTGCTCAGTATGGAAAAAAATATTTTAATCAGTAGTGACATCATCTATTTAAAATTAGGTCTTGTTGAATTTGATTACAAAAAAGTATATTGCACTTGAAGAACAGTGAAATGACATTTCCCCTGATTCCCTCTTGTCGATGTTTACCTGACAATGTTTATTCAAATATAGAATATATATATATATATATATATATATATATATATATATATATATATATATATATAAAAAACGAAATTCAAATTGTACTTCATCAAAATCTGCATTATGTTAGCATTAAGTTCAGACAAACAAACTAAATTACAAAATAAAGACGTGTTTATGCAGAGTAGAAAAAAAGTCTGTTAGTCAGACCAGATCAAAACAAATTTAATGTTAATTATAATGCTTGCAATATAATTACAAACATTGCTTTTTTTGGCATGAGAGCCAACTTGGATTAAAGCAATCATAAAAACTACCAATATTCTACACTACTTAAAGTTTGTGATTAATGAAGCTTTCATTGGAGACAAAAGATATTCTTTATTCCGCCTCCCCACCCTCAAGAAAACGGTGCTGAAATCTCATGTCGTATTTTTGTCAGACTGTTGCACAAACTAGATACTTATGAATTTTTTCACCTATCGGCTGCAGCAGTACATGTTTAAATGTATTAAAAATCTCACTTGGTTCTAGTTTATCATGGATATTTTCCTGAGAACTTCTGCACTCCAACAAATTGGTTGAGTTTCAAAAACGGACAACAAAAAGAAAAAACAAAAACGAAATGGTGAACTCAAATTCTTAACTCCTGGCCCTTTTAATGCGTAACCTACATACAGTCTTTTGTGATTTTTTTTTTAATAATTCATGATTACTTGAATGACTGAGCCATTAATGAGAATGGCTCCAGTGTTGACTTATGTGCGTGTTGTTGTTGTTTTTTTTTTTAATATTCAGACATTGTTAAATCTTTGGACTTTCACCAGTGCTTGTTCTGTTCTTTTTCCACTTTATTCTGTTTGTACACAGGGTACAAATGAACAAGAGAACTGCAGTCATTAAGATTTCCCTGTTTAAGTGAAGGTAAAACAAAGAAATATGTGCTCAAGCTTTAACGTCAGAAAGAAGAAATGCTGGCCATTGTTTAGTTGTTATGTTGCTTATTGGCACTTCTGAAGGAGAGCTTTGTAATTTATTTGTGATTTTAACGGAGTGTTCTTGATTTTGTTCTGAGGTAGACTGACTGTGAAGTTAGTTATTATAGTTGTGTTTATCCTAAATGCATATGGTTTTCGAGTGAGCGACTTTTATTTAGACTCTTTATGGACTCAGACGTTGGTCCTTTTCAAGTAGCAAATTGTGTGGATTTCACCGCTTAACCAGCAAGTGACTTGTTGTTGCTTTACTGTCGCATAACCATCGGTTTGTCTTTAGCGATCTGTAACTCTCTCCTTTTCCCCATCAGAGTCGTTGCCTGAACAAACCTTTAAGGATGAGAGTGATGCAGCCACCCTGAGACAGACCCTTCCGGATTTAACCCCCGACGACCCCTCCGAGGCTCCGGCTCTGCCCGTCGAAGACTCCACCCCGTCAGCTGCCCCCACAGAGGCAGCTAACGGGGAGGAGGCCGCTGACGCTGGGGACCAGGAAGGAGAAGAGTCTCCCAGCAAATCCCCCTCCAAAAAGAAAAAGAAGTTCCGCACACCTTCCTTCCTAAAGAAAAACAAAAAATAGACAGTCCCGAATCAGAGAACGCTGGAAAAAACTGGCCCCAGCTTTTTTTTTGTTTTTTTTTTTTTTTTTTTTTTTTTTTTTTTCTTTCTGTCAATATACTCTTCAAGTGAGCCACACTTCCACAATTATACTTTGGTTCTTTTTGTATCTTTTGTTACAAGCTTATTAACCTGCTTTTGCTCATTAGTGTGTGCCAATTTTGTATACAATGTAAAAAAAAAAAAAAAAAAAATCGCATTAAGGTTTTTAATTATTAAAGGCGTTTAGTTGTGAGTGCAATCTGTCTCATACACTCCACCTGGTGTTTATGCATGTCTATAACTACAGGTTCACATGCTTAGTGACATTGGAGAGTTTTGTTGCTTTTTTTAAATAAATTTTTTTTTAACTATTAACCAATGTAACCACTAGAATGTATAGGGATTGTATCTAAATATGTCTGTCGCTGCAGGGCGAGGAGGTTCTAGCCCCTCACTGAGCTGCTGGAGATTTATGACAAGTGATGACTACAAATTTCATACATGCATCCCTGAAGCTGTGCACTCATTTAATTACATGTCAGCGGACGGGAGAGCTGCAGTCGAGCTACTATGGAATGGTTATATGCTCATGTCCAAAATGCAATAATTCCAATGAAATTGCTCATTTTCAGCCACATGTAATGCTTTTTCTTCTTCTCTCTTTTTTTTTTAAACATTGCATTGCTTTACTGACATGGTTTTTTATTTAATGCTGGTCAAATACCTTACAGGCCATATTAAGTAAGAACACTTTTCTGTTATGCAAAGTTAGTCCTGCCTTGTTTGTAACTAACATTGTGCTTGCTGATCAGTCTAAGGCTTCATGCAATGTATCTGCCACTGGCTGCAAGCATTTATTGTGAAGGAATGTGTACATTAGTATTTTTTTTTCTTTTATTCTAATGGTTTCATCATGACTTTTGTATTTGCTCTCTTGTTTCACTTTACAAGCAGCTATTTTACATCTAGTTTTTAGTTGTTTTGTCTCAGATTAGATTAATCCATTGTTGCTCATCGTCAGAGGGAACTGTGGCCCCTTTTCTGTCCTAAAACCACAGCTTTTGCCAGATACTGCTTTTTATCCAGTTGCATTTATTCATGGAGAACGTCTTACAAAGCTGCATTTTCAATCATGTCTTATAACCATAGATCTGGACGTTTACTTGGTAAAATAAATTGTGAAACCTGGGCTGTGAATAGCTGTTGACCGTAAAGACAATGTACACTGGAGGAAAAAAAAAAAAAAAACACACAAAAAAAACTTTTGTTGTGACTGCAATCGATAGATGGGGAAAGGAAACAGTTTGATGTTCACATTCAGGCCACTTTTCTGTGCCCGGCTTAGGTTGTTTTTATTCATCCTGCTTTGACAAAGAGTCCTGAAGTGTTTTAAGAAATTGGCCGCTGATGACAAATATGATTGACTTGCATTGCAATGAAGGGCTTCAATCTGAATTTGGGTTATATTTCAACTTTTTTGTGCTGATACCACTACTAATGTCCTGATATTCATTTAAATCAGCCTTAGTTTATTTTATTTTTTATTGTTTTATCTTACATTATGCTGATTTGTGTTTGAATTATTCCCAATTTAAATATTTGGTTATTACTCAATTTACAAAGTTATTACACCACTTTTTTTTTTTCCTGTCGTCATGGATCCATCTCTATTCTACAATGACAAATAAAAAGAAACACTACCATGAAAAGCAGAACTGTGTGATTGGTTCTTGTAATTCTGTACAATGAGCATCTCTGAGTATCAATTAACAAGTCGTTCCTCAGTTTTTAATTGGTTTTAGGTCTGGTCTTTGACTAGATCTATACTATCTATACTACTAGGTATCACATAAAATCCCAAGGAAATATATTGAAGTTGGTGATTGCATTCTGGCAAAATGTGAGCAAAAACAGGCATGTGAGCACTTTGCCAAGCTACTGCAGTACTGAGTGACATCACCAAAGCCCATATCATCCAACCAAAACATGTAAGGTTTATTAAATTTGAAGTCCTTACAAGGTTGACTGAGAGCTAGCTTGTTTACATTATTATGCCTATAAGTATCTGCTGTTTTAGCACATAAGACTTTTTTTTATTTATTCATTTCATTAAAAACAAAACAATTATATACAATAGCAAAAAATATACAAGTCAATAAAATGAAAGGTAGCAAAAAGAAGAAAAAAATTTGTAATATCTGCCCCTTTCATCCCAAAAATATATTTAATATCTATTTACAAAAAACAAAACTACCCAAAAACATCGAGCACTGTTGCAACTTTCAGCAACGTATTTGTTTAAGTTAGTTTTTTTTCTATTTAGTCCCTAAAGAAAATAATACATAGTAAAGATTAGTATGTATATTTAAACAAATAAAAAATTGAAACAATATGGTTGCCTGACTAGTACAGCAATATACTTGGCATGCGATCTAAATTAACCTAACAGGTGAATTGTTATTTCCTTTCAGGGTAAGAAAAAAAGGAAGCCTCAAAATGAGTTTACCAGAGAGTGAAAATGTCCATGTGCATTATAAAGCTTTACTGATATACTATAAAAAAAAAATAATAATGCAAATGTAGAGACGTGCTTCTGACACTAGGGGCGCTGTTGGAAACATACCACAGGAAGTACTATCGGCATTGTGACCCTTCTGCACGCTGGAAAATGGAAACCTGGTGAAGAAACGTGGATACAAACAATTATATATGAAGCTGTCTACAGTCGTTGTTTGATTTCTTTATCCACTTGAGTTTAATAACTCGACTCCTCGCTGTGGCCTTAAGGTGAACGTGTCTTTCTGTCTGAGACTTTTCGTATGTTTACAAGTTGTTGACGGTTTAGTGCTGAAAATAACACTTCTTTTTCCTCTTGTTTATTAACTTCTTTATACACATCAGTAGTTTTCCCTACGGGGTGTTTTAGTTTAACAAATCATGTGATTTAATATTTAATCTCGTCAATAACTTTCCACATTGACATTATGAACTGAAGTTGATAAGTGTGTTGTTAACTTTATATAAAGGGAATGAAGAAAAGAAAGGTACGGGTCTTTTCATTAAGGTTTATTTAAAAACTAACACATTAACTGCGAAAGGACGCACAAATACAGAGTTCATTATTGCTGGTCAGGTCAGAAAAGGCTTATACGATGCAAGTTTCCGAGATCCTGATAAGTATGTCAAAATATGTAAAAAAAAAAAAAAAATTAAAAAAATATTTGTTTTTCCTGTATCTACGTCTGTCGCATTCTGTTCAAGTTTTATCCGTCCATCCTTTTTATTTGTCTGTCATATGTCTTTTATTTCCTTCCTCACTTTGTGTTCTTTTCTGCAGAATCCAGGATTAGTCTGACTGTTGTAAGAATATCTGCCTTTAACTGGTGTACTTGTATTTGAAAACCCCGGCGAAAAAGAAAAGACCTAGAACTTAGAAAATG